TAGTATATATATATATATATATATATATATATATATATATATAGATATATATGTATATATATAGATATCCACAGGGAGTCGAAAAACTAGTAACGAGTTCACCTAGTAACGCAAGTCGCGCATTCCATAATTAATGAACCCTATTCTCTATTTAGCCATTAACGCGTTCACGCGCATTTAGACTGCTCGTCCTACATATATTGCCACTTGCCGGCAGGCTGGTTTGCTCTACTATCAGATTGGCCAGGTCGAGCGTGCGTGATGTAATCTCGGTTCATACGTACCAGCATAGGCTTGATCCTGTGTGTAAACGAAGCTTACTGTAAACAGCTCCGTCTTACTGTGACTGCGGGTTAAATACTTACTGTGGCAAAATTCGATGATGAAAGAACTAATAAAAAATGATCAACGTGGCAGATTAAATCGCGCGCCGGCGGCCAGCCAGGTACTTGGGGGAATATTTCTCTATTTTCGCTGTCATTAATTCGTGCATGCTGTCATTAATCTACGCAAGATTACTAGAACTCTAATAAATATGAATAGCCATAAACCGAGTGTAAATCATCATGCAGTCATCATCGGTGAAACCCTAAGCACACACAGCCTCACTATTCACGTTGATTGCAAGCTCTGCATCGCCTCCCCTGTCATCACTCGGCTGAGTCAAATTTTGATCCGTCGCCTTTAAGAATGAGCTCAGGCTACGTCCCTGGAAGGAAACTAGTTCAGCCTCTCTGCCCCATGTAGCGGTCCCCATCGCGTTATTTCCTCACCGATGTGTAATTACACACTGTAATAATAATATATTACATACGGGGGCTATAGGTAGGTTTACGGCGCAGCAACGGTCGGCTGAAGGTGCGATGTAAAACCATACTGATCGCTGCTTGTCTATACGTGGATGTTTAGGAAGAGCAGCCTCATTAGGTTTTTAAAATATCCGCATGAATTACACATGGCTGCATGCAGAACCTAAAAGTGTTAAATTATGCATCTAAGGAGAATAGGTCCTCGTGTGGTCTTTTGATGGCAGCTGTCAACGGATCGGGTCGTTTCGTGTGGCTTTCGTTTATTTTTATTACCTCCGCCAGGGGCTTGGCGGGGGTTATGTTTTTACCGGCGTGTGTTTGAGTGTTGGTTTGTGTGTTTGTGGGTTTGTGGATTTGTTAACATGCACGTTTCAGTTCACTTCCGCTAGATGCGCTGGCTGTAGACTTACAAACACGCAACCACAGGCTAAGAGGCAACCACAGTCCTCCCCCACCTGCACGCTCGCACTAATCCGAATCCAATTAATTAATTAATTAATTAATCAATTAATTAATTAATTTTTCCACTTAATTAATTAATTAATTAATAAACAAAATTCACATTGAGAGAATTCAGCTGCCTTGGCGGAGGTCTGTGCTCTCCGAGTGCTCTAGTTTTATTTATGTTATTATTTTATTTTATTTTTAGTATCGCCAGGTATCCGCTGCATACATAGTACCATGGGAAGGGCATTTTTGTTGACAGTAATGAATGTATTTTGCAAGAATACACGCATAACTCCCACGTGTACATTTAAAACTTCCGGTGAAATATCGGTCGCGATGCGTGCGTGCCACCATTAATTATGATGAATGCATTAACCGTGGCTCTCAGTCACAGATAAATCATTTGCGGACGTTTCTTTGCGAATGCCGCCATAATTTATTTATTACGGATCTTTAGGCAGATCCGACGATGTACAGATCATCGGAACAATTAAATAACCGTAAAACCTGGTAATAACACTCATATCTAGATATTCTGGTGCTGCGAGCGGGTGGGTGGATGGATGGATGAATGGATGGATGGATGGATGGATGGATGGATGGATGGATGGATGGATGGATGAAATGGACGGACGGACGGACGGACGGACGGACGGACGGACGGACGGACGGACGGACGGACGGACGGACGGACGGACGGACGGATGGATGGATGGATGGATGGATAGATAAATGGATGGATGGATAGATGGATGGATAGATAAATGGATGGATGGATAGATGGATGGATAGATAAATGGATGGATGAATGGATGAATGAATGAATGGATGGATTGATGGATGGATGAATAGATTCATAAATAGAACTTATTCCATGCACTTAGAAGGTTGCATGAATTAATATAAGTTATATAAGGTTACATAGAAGAGAAAAGTAAAAGTATGAAGAAACATCGAGAAGTGGTGTGTGTGTAATAACACATTTTTCCATATAAGAGTTTACATTACAGCTATTCTGAGCGCCTACGCACATTCAAGCGCATAAGGTATAAAAGATTGCTAACCATTCCCGGCGCATTGTCTGTCGTAGTAGCCGAGGCAAGTTGAGACTGATGGTAGAGTATTATCTCACCAGAGCTGTGGTTATGAAGAGTACTGAATGTGGCACATAGGGATGAGAATTCTCAGAATTTACCATGATCGAGATACATCAACATTGTGCACTTAACGTAGACGAATCTAGCCACTGTTTTGCAGTAACGATTGCAACAAGTGTTTTTTTTATCGACTATTGCAAACCCGCATGATTTGTTTTTTATTACATCTTGTTTTATATTTTATTTTATATGTTATTGTTTTTATCGATCGTTCCAGGTGACATCAATATGTTGTGCAAGAGATAGACGGACGTAATACGAACACACAGACGTTCTCGAAGACCCAATTGTGGTGATCCCAAGCATTAAAGAAACGTTTGTCAACCGATAGAGGTATGTCAATATAGCGTCGTATCTGTCTCGATTCAGTCACATTATTTGCGTGTTAAAGTGGAATTAAAAACGCGGCCCGTGTGAGCATTCGTGCTTTAACGTATAGACAGACACATGCGTACGCGATGTATGACCTGCGCGCAAACCAAAATGAAGAAGGCCGTACCAAGGTGTGTCGGTTCAATCAGATATCTCTCTCTCACGCTGTATACGAACAGACAACGATAATCTAAAGACAGTCGAGAGAAGAGGCGAGAGATTCTGTCCGCGATGAATTAAGAAAAAAAAATTTAATTCATTTTTTCCGGAGTTTAATCCGTATCAGCGATACCACAGAAAGCGTGGTGACGGAGACGGTGAAGCGATTGGTGGTCATAGGATCTCGAATTCGCTCGCGTCTACGTATAGCGTTAAGATTTCCGACGACTTCTTACATGTATCTTATCGGAGAGGAAACATGCAGCCGTAATTCTCGGAGAGAAAACGGGGAATTGAATCGTGTTCGTTCGTGCGTTTTATCGTTCGTGTGTCCGTTCGTTCGTGTGTTTTGTGCGGGTGACGAACTGGAGCGAAATGGCGAGCTTAGGGACAGCATTCCTTGCTATAATTGTCTCGTGGAAAGTAGTGATGAAACGATGCGTCTAAAAACGTTTTCAAACAATAGTGAAGACGTTGAGAATCCTTGCTCCGTTAAACCTCGATGGGAAAATTGTCTCAGTGCACATTGGAGTAAACGGCAAGCGGTTTAACTGTTTACCGTTAATAACTGAGACATGGGAAGCGTTAGTCACATCGGTGATGTTTCTTGCTTGACCAAACACTGGCTATTGTGGTATCACCACTATGTACTGGCGATAGTCGGAATGCGCACCGGAAACCATGCGTTGCCATGTAAATATCTATACAAAGTAAGACAGATTTAAATTTAGATGATTTAAAAAAAATTCTTATTAAGTTTTCTTTAAGTTTTTTATTATTATTTTAGTAAATTTAGACAGATTAAATAACATAGATGTGTTCGGGACGAGACAAGCGAATAGTGTGTAAGCACCAACTAGACGCACATCGTAGGTTGTGCTCACTCCACGCTAACACAACATGAATACTGCCTGTCGCTTGTATCACTGAGAATTGGCGGGAGCTTGCGACTAAAACAATATCACGAAAGAAATGTTATAAGTAACAACTTAGCGAATATCGTGGGTGATGCCCTTTCGACGCTAGCACTGAATGAATACTACCAGGGGGTATTATTTGCCATCATTAACCCCTGATATTAACTGTCGTATATCTCACTGAGCTTTGACGGAGGGTTGCAACTAGAAAACGTGAGGCAATAAAAACAAATCTAGTTACAGATGCTGTAAGTAACAACTCGATGAAGATTGTAGGGCTTAATTAGGGGTTAGATGGCAGCTCCGCGCGCTACCACGGATTTACTACTATCACGGGTTAATAATGAAAAATGTCCAATTTACAAATTTACAAATCTGTCATTATTAACACGTGATACTATCTGTCGTTGGCGGAATGTTGCCACTAAAAACACAAAGCGGTAGAAACAGAACTAGTGACGAAAAACGATCGTGTACTAACTAGTACTTATTACCGAAGTAATACCTGGATAAATATCGCTGATTAATTCCATATACCTGTCGTACAGTAGTTGTTCGTCCGCTCTCCCGATCGCCTGTCGCCATCCTCATCCCAGTCTGTCAGGAAATGGCTTGAATCAGCGATCGTGTGTGAGAGTGACAGTATTACGCTCATATCGCTACTAGTAGATCTCAGGGGAGAGATAGTGATCAGAAGTTGTGGATATAGAAATCAGTTAACCCTAACCCTAACCCTAATCCTAACCCTAACCCTAACCCTAACCTTATCCTTAATTCTAAAATAAAACAAAATTACCCAAAAATAATAAATAATAAAATAAATAAGAGACAAAATTAGCCAATCAGAGTCGTTTTTGTTAGCGCTTAACGCGCCCTCTAGCGGATCACTATCTCTCCCCTGTGCAAAATTCTATCGCTACTGTTTCTACGGCAAAAGGTTGAAAGCTTGTTTCGTCGCTCACATACGTCAGACATACGTCACAGTTTCGACTGTACAAAATTTAATTAATTTTGTTTTTAATAGGGTTAGGGTTATTTTTTAGAGTTAGGGTTAGGGTTAGGGTTAGGATTAGGGTTAGGGTTAGGGTTAGGGTTAGGGTTAGGGTCACAATGCACCTTAAAACAGGAGTTTGAGTCCGCATGGACGTGACGTCACTCACTCATGAACGAGCGACGAAGCAAGCTTTCAACCTCTTGCGTTTCTACGAACGATCGCAGCAATCGCGATCAGGATATCTCCTATCAGTCAGGGAGCAAATGTAATCCTGTGGGAAATTCAGGCTACAAACAAACAGCTAGGCTACATGTGTATCGTGTTCGAGGGACCATATGGAACATGAAAATATATGTTGGCAACATTGAAACTTGCACCGGGCTATTTTAGGGGTGTTTTAGAAAACACCATTTTTCAACTGGAAACGAGGCTCTGATATATAAATGGCTATAACTTTTTTTATTTTCAATAAAATTCGGCCAAACTTTCAGCGATTACTAACCTCAGCGAGTTGGACATGGCTAGACCATAATATTCCACTAAAACAATCACGTGACATATCTGGCACGAAATCGAGGCTCTGATATATAAATGGCTATAACTTTTTTTATTTTCAATAAAATTCGGCCAAACTTTCAGCGATTACTAACCTCAGCGAGTCGACATGGCTAGATATAATATTCCGCTAAAACGATACGTGACATATCTGGCACGAAATCGAGGCTCTGACATTATTAGACCGCCATTTTGACTTACAGTTAAGCAGATGTGTTCTTATTGAAAATATGGATGCTATGGCAGAAGATGATAAATCCGGCGGTTTTGCTTAGTATGCTTGTAGAGAATCCTTTAAATTTGTCTTGCATTAGAGGCCATAAGAGACAGGGCTCGACTGGTTTTTGTCCGGGTATATTTCAAAATAAATGCTTAATAACGGATCAACGTTTATTCTCTTTGCGGGAAGTCTTGCTAAGGATTGTCATGTACAACTTCATCACAAGCCCCTTGCTATCACCCCTCACCGAGTACACTAACCCACGCTGATATCTATGCAGCTCAAAACGCTTGTATGCGTGCGCGCGCGTGTGTGCGTGCGCGCGTGTGTGCGTGCGTGCGTGGGTGGGTGCGGGAGTGTGTGTGCACGCGCGTCTGTACATGAGTGTGTGTGTGTGTGTGTGTGTGTGTGCGCGCGTGTGTGTGTGCGTGCGTGCGTGCGTGCGTTCACGATATAAGCATGGGCTCGGCGAGCGGCGGGGTTCTATATAGGTTTAACTGTGGATTTACAACGCTACATTAGGCTAGTAGTTCGCATGAGTTAGTTTTTGCTTAAAATTTAAACAAAATGCAAATAAGAAGTTTAAAGTGATAGCAACTGTTGAGCATAGATTAGAGTTTCGTCATTCAGTCGCGTTTGGTCATGCAATACAGTGAAGTGCAACATGTATTGAAGCGCTGTCGTTACAGTATCGGATTCTTTTCTCTCCCGGTTTTGCGGCAAACGGTAAAGTATTCTAATCGACCCACCCGCGTACAAGTGCGTGTGCATGCGTGCATGTGCGTGTGCATGCGTGCGTGTGCGTGTGCATGCATGCGTGTGCATGCGTACATGTGCGTGTGCATGTGCATGTGCATGCGTGCGTGTGCGTGTGCATGCGTGCGTGTGCGTGTGCATGCGTACGTGTGCGTGTGCATGCGTGCGTGTGCGTGTGCATACGTGCGTGTGCGTGGGTATGCGTGCGTGTGCATGCCTGCGTGTGCGTGTGCCCTATGTAAGGTCACAAGGTATCAGAAACACGCGTATAGCAATAACATAATAACAGGAGTCTATCAATAATTTGACTATTACTAACTGAAGTAGAGAGACTCCTTAACACATTCGTGTCGGAACGCATCCAGAAAGACAATGTCAATCTGTGGTTTCCATGAAGAAACGCAAGCTTCTAACCTGGAAGACTACTCTAAAGAAGACCAGGGTTGCGTGAAGAACAAGGTAGTTTGAGTTACAAGAGACAGAAGCCTGTTCGCGGATGATGGTGGTGCCAGTCACGGCCGGAAATCAACATACAAGAAGCAATTGGCAAGTACGAGTTTTTGTGGTTCCGAGGTCCCCTCTTTGCTGCTGATGGTGTGATGCTACATTGTCTAAACAAGAGTACGGCTGATGAGCTTGGTTGAAAAGGAGGCGCCACCTGTCTCCTCCGCTGATGAGACTGATGAGGCAAGACTCCCGTGCATCGAAAGAAGGCAGTCATTGTGGATGGAATGGCGGAGCTGCAATCGCTGGACAAACCGGCCTACATAGCTACGTGCGCTCAACTTGCCGAACATCTCCCTGACAAGCTTCTCTTCAAGTTCTCCAAAAGCGAAGAGATTCATTTGGTTTTTGACGTTACGATGTTCCCTCGTCTTAAAGTCAGCTACACGCGTCCGTCGGCAGAGAGATCAAGCGCCGATTTACACCGAATATCAGACACGACTCATATAGCAAAGGTCCAATGAAACGCCTACTGTCACACACTAAAGACCAAGATGAAGTTGACGGAATATCTTGCAGCCAAGGTACTTCAGAGAGCAGAAAGAGAGGGCAAGGATCTCGTTGTCGCCTGGGGTGTGAATATAAAGCAACCCATCGAGATGTCGCGCACCTTCGCAGTAGTCAGAAGGAAGCAGACACAAAGATCATGCTGCATGCCATTGATGCTACTAGACAAGGAGCTACAGAAATCCATATCTTCTCGCCGGATACGAATGTCTTTATTTTGTGCATGAGACGATGCCCTGAACTTTGTAGCAACATCAACTTTGTTACAGGAACTGGGCAGCGACGACGGGTTATCAAGCTACAGCCCATAGCACAAGCTCTTGGTCATCAGAAGGTAGCCGCGTTACCC